AGGCAACTTGCCAAAGATCATAGGTCACGGAGTGGCAGAACCAGAGTTACAGCCTAGCCAGTTTGTCAACTTTGACTAAAGCTCGCTTTTACTACACTGAATTCTAAATTACCATATGAAAGTTAAAACCAGGAGGGAGTTCAGACCTCTCCTAATGCAGTGTTTCCCTGACCACTCTGATTTAAAAAAACACTTTCTGGGGCAGACATTAAAAATAGATTCCCAGGCCCCACTGCAGACCTTTCGAATGATACCCTCCAGGAGACAGATTTTGCTATAGAGTGCGTGTGCTCACCAGAGAGACAGACAGAGACAGAAAACAAGAAATCACCCCCTACTCTCATGAGGAATGGCCACGCTGCAATCCCTTCTCCTCCATTCTCCTCTAGGGATTTTGGGCATGTACATACATGTGCCCAGTGTGAGTTTCAAAACTCTGGGTCTGGGACTTGAACTGCAGTCGTCGAAGTGGGAGTGCAGCAATATAACCATCTCTCTAACTGCTGGTCCCGAGGTTCTGTATTTTAACAAGAGCCCCCGCGAGGTGGTTCTAATGATTAGCTAAAACACTGTTCTATACCCGCATGTCCAATATGGCAGACATAATTACATTAATTAAAACAATAAAATAAAAAACTGAGTTTTTCAGTTCCACTAGGTACTTTTTAAGTGCTCAGTAGCCACATGGGACCAAGGTCTACCATACTGGACCGCACAGATACAGGACTTTCCATCACGGCAGGAAGTACTACTGGACCATCTAATTCTAGACCAACTTTTCAACTGTGATGAGAAAACTGAGGCATAGGATCTTGTCCAGCAAGTGCCATGGGGCCAGACAGTGGAGTCAAATAGTGGCAGAACCACAACTTCAGGTTTGCCAATGACCCTCTTACTTCACCCTACCTTATATTTAAGGTTGTTCAAATGGGATTTCCCTTTCACCTTTTCTTGTGGGTTCTAGCAAAATAAGGAGAGAAGTTCTAAATCTGTGGGGGAGACAAATATGAAAAGCTTATTAAAATATAATGGCAGGGCCAGCAGGTGGCACAGTGGTAAAGGCGCTGGAGCTGCACATAGCTAACCACGATTCGAGTCTCAGACCTGGTGGCTTGAAAGTCACACCAGGTATGTGTGTATGTGTGTGTACAAGTGCATGTGCATGCGTGCCCAAGATCCCGGGAGGAGAATGGAGAAAGGACTGTGGTGTCGCCATCCTCCCTGGAGGATAATACTTTCTCACTTTCCCTCTCTGGTTGTCTTTCTGTGAGCACATGCACCCTATGGTGAAAAAATTAAAAAAAAAAAAAAAAAAAAAAGGTTAAATCTAAACCGATCTGCAATCTGTATACAAAATCAAAAGTTGTCTTGGATAGTTAAAAATATCCTGGTGTAAGACGACATAGCTTAGCTTGTTGTAACTATTTAAAGTCCTTTTCCTATTGTCCTAGTATTTTTCTCTCCCTGTCTCTATTTGAAACTCTAAGACTAATGATACTGGCCTACCATGAAATCTATTTTTTTAAAAATTATTTTATTTAACTTTATTTATTTTACTTTTATTTATTTTTATTTTTTAAAAATTTGACCAGATAGGGAGAGAGTAAAAGAGAGAGAGAGAGAGATGGAAGGTGAGAAAGCAAACTGCCAGGTCTGAGACCCGAACCGCGGTCAGCCATATGGGAGTCCAACACCCTTAACCACCAAGACACCTGTCCTCCCACCACGAAATTTTAAATGTAAAAGGTTAAATCTTATTTCTGAACATTTTAAAAAATGAAAATTTGACAATGGGTTAGTTTTTGAAGATGGTCGCACACATCACTGGGCCTTCTTGGTTTTTTGTAATTTAGTGGTTAATACTTATGACATTAACACAATTTTACTTTTATGGTTTTACCTTCTTTTGCCTAATGTATTTTAAAATAATCTAAAATAAGTGGTCTCATTTCAATTTCCAACATATTTGAAGGACTAGAAGCATGTGACTATCTAGGAAGGTTTAGATATTAAGATCAACATATAATCAGCCCTTAAAAAATATAGCTGTGTCTTCTTTAAAAATAAAACCAGTTGTTCCTGTCTAGTATGTTTAGAATGCAAATGTCTCCAAAGGCAACTTGGTCATGACAGTTCTTGTTTAAAACAAGCAGGAAAACAGCTGGGAACTCTATTTTAGCCAAAACTTCAAAGAAATAACTATATAGCTCTATGAATATTTTCCATAATGTATTAATAGTATTCGATTCCATGTTACATTCCAGTCAGTAGATTTACAGAAAATGCTATGTGTCTCAGTTTACATAAGGTTAAAATGGGATAGTTAAAAATCATGGCCCAACACAAGACATTATGAACAGACACTCATTCAAGACAGATTTTACCAAAATTTGCAAGAAACCTACCAAGCCCTGAATATGGGGTTCTACATAAATAGAAATTACTTGATATTCAGAGAAGGAGCTGGTGAAAAAAGGAAAAAAAAAAAAGCTATTTTCTTTCTAAACACTTTCTGGTGTTAAGGTAAACAAACAAAAAATATATAAGTTTAAGCACATTTAAAAGCAAGGCAACAGTCTCTAAGTCATAAAAGGAGGAGACCAAAAAAATGTGCTTTAAATAGGGAACTGGAAGCTTAAGGCAAAATTTATCTGCTGGCTTTTGGCATTATTTCGACATTGTATGTTATGTCTTGACGCGGACTTCGCCATGTTAGGAAGAGGTAATAAACATGTGATCCTCAAACTCTTGTGCCAATGAAACTACTTTTGGAGGCAGCATAGTTCACCAACTGAAGGAAAATATTAGACAAACCCTACATGACCACAGTTGAAACCAAATAGCTCAACCACCAAGTGATAAAAACTGGCACAAACGCAAAAAACGTTAAAAACATGTCAAACTCTTAGTAAATTATAATAAAGTGTTGTATAAATTTCAAATCTCCCAAAAGAGAGTTGTTTAAAAAAAAAAAAAAAAGGAAAGCATTTGGGAAGAAGGGCCTTTTAGAAGTCAGCTTGCAAGGAATGCACACCAGAAGGGGTGAGAGAGGAGCCATTCTGATCATCCCTCGCCAGGTGATATTGCTAATATCTTTGGTCCTATCCCCAAGTAGGCAATTTTCGTCATCCTTAGGGAAAGTGACTTGGGCAACAAGCGAATGTGCTTTGCGATAGAAAAACTGTAGAGATGCTGCTGAAACCAGTTATTTCAAAAAGATGCAGTAGTGAAAGCCATGAAATCCCGACTGTAATTCCCTAGTTTCTTGTTTTAAAAAAAATCATCTTCACACTTGTAAGCCAGCACACTTGAAATTGACCCAACAAAGTTTTCAGCTGGCCCTCAGTATCTTGCAATCCGTCCTTCCTCCACTTCCCTGCTGTTCTTTCCTGGCGCACAAAATATAGGCCAATGAACAGTGGGTGGGTGAGGAGGATGTGAGAGAAAATTTGAGAAGTAAAAAAAAGCACAACTTAACCAGGACATGAATGAGACTGTAGGGTCTAATAAGGGTAGGCAAACGACAATTAGAACTACTGAAAAACAGACAGGGCTTTTCCGGGCAGTAGCGAGCGCTCAGCTTTTGTAGGAGTTTAAGCAAAGGCCAGACTACCTACCACTTGTCAGAGAGGATGCAGAGGGACGGCTGCTTTGGTTGACCTCTAATGTCTCTTCCGACTCTGAAATGTTAGGATTCTTATTTCACAAAGGAGAATGCAACAGTCACAGAAACCCACCAACCTGAAAGCCTTTAATAAAATAAGCTGCTTGGGCGGCTGCTTCCCAAACACCACTCCCACTTCGCTCCCTCCCACACGTGCCCACCCCGCCCCCTTTCAGTATTTTCCACCTCCACGTGCAAAATGCCTATCGGCACTGGCCCCGACGCGAATAGGCAGCTTCCCCTGCAAAGCACTAAAGCTGTACTCCCCCACCCCCCCAGGGAAGTGAGGATTCCACTCCCCCACCCAGGGAGGCTAAAAAAAGAAAAGTCTCAGATACAGTCTTTTCTCCCCCCAAGCCCCAGCGAAGCGGGGAGGGCCGGGACGCAGAGAAAAACTTTCTCCTAAAAAATTTCTCCCTGAGATTGGAGGGGAGAGAGAACCCCAACGAGTCCGGCGCTAAGGGGATGGGGGGAGGGGAACCCCTGACTCGTTTAACGGCCGGTAGGGGGAGGGGGGTTCTGGAGGTTGAGGGGGCGTGGGATGGAGAAGCAGGCCTGGGACCCGGGTCAGGGAGCTGCGGGGTTGGGGTTGCTGGGGCCGGGGACCTGCAGCCGTCCCCCCCACCTGGCACACAAAGCGGCTGCCGCGCTCGGCTCTCACCAGATCCTTTGTGTTTTCCATCAGGGCCTCATGGGTAGGGGTTGTCCGTGCTCCCCGAGCCCGCGGCGCCCCCTCCCCGAGCTGGGGGCAGGGGCCTCTCCCCAGGACTGCGGCGACTACAGGGGGCCCCCGGCTGGGCCCGGACCGGTGGCGGGTGCGGCCGGCCCCCGGGTTCTCCCCCCTTACTAGCCCCCGGATTTCCCCCCTTTAACTCGGGTGGCCCCAGGATATCAACAACATTAGCATAACCCTCCCTCCCCAGCGCGCCTGCGCCGTGACCCGCGCCCCGATTGGCCCACTTCCCTACATACCCTCCTCTCTCTCTTCCAGCGTGGGACCCTCTGCAGGCTCCGTACTCTAGGGACCGTACCAAGACGAAGGGTGGGAAAGGAGCCGGGGCTTGTATCAAGCCGAGCGGTCCGAGGCAGGAAGGAGAGAAGTTTCATTCAGTCATCCCAGCGTACATCCTGGCTTTCTTGCGCTCCTTTCAGTAGGTTACAGCTACGAAGCTGTGTTGGAAAAATTTTCCACTCCAGTCATGCCGCTTCCCCCTACACCCGGAAGATCGGCCCTCCCGCAGGAACTCCCACACGGGGAGGGGTTGGCGAGGGGAGTAGGAGTTACGTAGCGAGGGAGTGTGGGTCACGTGGCCGCAGACTGCGCACGCTCCTTCCGGCGCCCGGGGACCTCGGTGGCGGCAGCGCGCCAGGCGCCGGGCGCACGCGCAGTGAGGTTCCACGTGAGCGCCTGCGTTTCTCCTCTAACCCAACGATGCCGCCGGAACGGAGAAGCCGAAAGAAACCCGACCAGAGAGCCCGAGCGAAGCTGGACCGGAGAGCCGGAGCAAGGCCGGGCGGGCCGTCCAGAAAAGCTGCCCCTTCATCCCGGCAGAAACCGCCGGCCCGGCCGAGGGCGGCGGCTGGGGCCCTGCGGCAGAGAGACTGCTCTGGCTACGGAACCGCCTGACGCTGGAGGAGGACAAACCGGCCGCGGAGCTCTGCTTGGAGGAGCTGGTCTTCGGTGATGTCGAGGACGACGAGGACGCCCTGTTGCGGCGTCTGCGGGGCCCGCGGGTGAGGCAGGCCGCTGCGTGCGGGCTGGGCGCGAGGTGCTCGGGCTGGGCGCTTGGTGGGCGGCGAGTCTCCGGGGCGGAGCCTGGGCGACCTTCGGCGGCCAGCGCGTTCAGGTGGGAGGGAGCCCGAGGCCGCGGCGCGGAGGGTCGCCGCCGCGAGTCCCCCGCCTCCGGGAGCTGGACTGAAAGTCTCCGGAGGGCGGAGACCGCGCTTTTCTCCGCCCCCGGAGGAGTCGCTGCGCCTGGTATCCAGCAGGCGCTCAACACGTGTTTGTTTCGCCAGCTGAAGTCGACTGCATCTTTTGTGGCTCCAGTCTGCTGTTCCCTTCCCAAAGTCAGCGTGATGCTTTGATTACCCGTCTCAGTTCTTTTGTCTTGATTCCGAAGTTTTGTTTTGTTGACGGAATCCATTTGTGGGCAGGGGCCTTGGAATCTGCATTTTAACAATGTCCCCACATGGGGGCCAGCAGTTAGATCAATGGCTATGTCGCTGGACTCCCATGTAGGCGGCCATGGTTTGAGTCCCCGACCCGGTGGCTTAAACTCACGCCGGGCACGTGTGCGTGTGTGCCCAAGATCCAGAGAGGAGAATGGAGGAGAAGGGATTGCGGCGCCCCCCGCCCCCCTGGGTTATTTCTCGCTTTCTGTCGCTGTCTCTCTGTCTTTCTGGTAAGCACACACGTCCCATAGCAAAAACCTCTCTATAGACCAGCGGGGGGCGTGGTGGTTAAGGTGCTGGACACTCCCACATGGTCGATTAGGGTTCGAGTCCTGGACCTGGTGGCTTGCCTTCTCACTTCTTCTCTCACTCTCACCCTCTGTCTCTCTCTGGTCAAATGAAAAAAATCAATGAATGAATGAATAAAAAATAAAATAGTTAATTAAAAAAAAAAAGGCTTTCGGGAACCAGCAGTTAGCGTAATGGCTATGTCGCCGGACTCCCACGTAGTCCACCGCAGTTCGTGTCCCGGACCCGGTGGCTTAAAACTCACGCCAGGCGCGTGTGCGTGCGTGCCACTCACGCCAGGCGCGTGTGCGTGCGTGCCCAAGATCCCGAGAGGAGAATGGAGGAGAAGGGATTGCGGCATGACCATCCCCCCTGGGGGGTGATTTCTCGCTTTTTGTCTCTATGTCTCTCTCTGTCTGTCTGGCAGCGCACGCGCCCTACAGTGAAAAATCTCTCAAAAAAAAAAAAAAAAGCTCTCTAAAAAAAGAAAATGTCCCCACATGATTATGACACATCAAGGCTTTTGAGAGTAGTCTTGTGTTGGGAATCTGTTGAGTGCCACATGCTCTTCCTGGCAGTGGTAAACTCTCCATGGTTGATAATTTTTGCACAGTTATAATCGTTTGTGCTATACCTGGTTTTGCTTTCAAGATAGGAAGTTCCAGGTATTGATTTAGGTAATAGAGGAGACACTGCAGTGTACAAAATTAACAAAAATCCCTGCTCTGTTGGAGCTTATGTACTAGTGGCAGAGATGGAGGATAGACCCATTTCAGATACTTCTTTGACAAGTGCTGAAGAGGAGAAAGAAGATCCAGAGAAGAGATTAATGTGTATAGAGGAGTCCTGTGAAATCTTAGTTATGGTGGCTGCAGAAAGCCTAAGACGTG